CCTTCTCATTTTACCTGCACTACCCTATCAATCAGCTAACTAACCTTACTAGGGCTTCTAGTCATTCCTATCCTTGTAGGGTAACACTGAATTTCTTTCCCTACCTACATTCTGTGGCTTGCTGATTTATTAAATTTTCATCATCATCTCTTAACACTCTGTTATTTTCTACCATGTGAGAGAGACATGGATTCTCACCCTGTATCATCTACCATACTTTTTCTCCCCAGGATGGCTTAATTTCTCTGCTCTACTAACAGTTAAAACAGCTTATATCTGTCTTCACCTCAGGTTGTGGTATCTAATTTCAGCCTTTTGATTCTCTAGTTCATTCTGTATAATGGCTTAAAAATTGATACATCTTGAACTGTTAACTCCGTCCTTTCCTTGGCAGGCAACCGACTTGTGTTACAAGAAGATGAGATTCTTCTGGTATGAGTCTCTTCTGCCATCTGCATTATCTCAGTATCTCTTGAGTTTTTGCAGAGTGGTTTGTTCTGAGCAGTTTTACCTTGCTTATCACATTCAGCATGGGGCCAGGTATGACAAAAAATATTTCTTCAGTTTTTTTTTTTTTTGGTCTAGTTAGTCCTACCTAATAGCTTGGAAAGGCAATATGTTCCAATGGAGAAATAAGTCGTAGGGGCATGGCTAAGATAAGGAGATCACTTTTTAAAATACCTATACCAAAACCAAATGAGCATTTTTTAACTTTAAAGGGATCGTTTTAAGAGGCTGGATAGTTTTTCAACTGATATATCCTACTGTTATTCAGTGTATCTTTTGAAACTTCTTTTAGAATTTCTTTGGAGACAAATTTTTAAATCCGTTCATATTATTCAAAGACTGTACCACACTTAAACAATAAAAAAATAATACTTGTTTTAGGTCCCTTTTCCCTTATAACCAAGTTGATATCAAGTGACCTTCTCTTTAAAATCAAAAGATTGAAAGAGTTTCAATATTGAGAATATTTAGAATGGTGTACTTCAGGGTCTAAAAACAATTATGAAAGAAAAGTAACAATTTTTTTGGAAAAAAAGATAACATGATTAAAACAAGTGTCTAATTTCCCTTCAATGATTGCATACACACACACACACACACACTTATTTCATACTTACAGTTACATATCACAGATTGTTGCATATATTTTTATTGTTTATTTTTGGGTTTGCCCCATTAATTTTGTATTGTTTTTAGGGTACTATTTATTTACTGCTTATTGTAAATGTGTTTTCTTCCAGACAGTTGGTGAATCTATCCATATTTTGTCCTGTAGCTAATACATTGGGGTATTACAAAATGTATTCCTAGAACATAAAGAACTAAACTGACATTTTGAGACTCCTCTGATTAAAAAACATTATTCAGGTGGGAGACTTTCTGGTTGTATTAATTGTCTAGAGGTGCTTATATTTATAGAAGTGAAGAATAGCTATGTCATGAAAGGAAGATGCTTAATTTGGGGACACAGAAATACACACAACCGAGAGGCAGAATTACCATATAATTTAAAAACTTGCCGGGAAAAAAAGGTACCCTATCCAGAGAACTCCATTGTCTGCCCCTAATGCAGGCATGGCCTTGCTGTAAAAATGGATTAATTGATCATCATAGCCCATAACACTCCCTTATTTGGGGTTCCGTGTTCTCCAAATAATCTTTTGGTTTTAATTCATCTATATTATATGCTTTTCCTCAGGGAGACATGGTAATTAGTGCTTTATTTTGAAAATGTTAAAATAACAAAACCAGAAAACTCAATAGGGACAAGTTTGGGGAGGGAGTGGATAGAGAAGTTGGTGATGAGTGTGGCTTGTAGCTGTGTTAGGCTAGGGTAAGGAGATAGCACTTGTTAGGTAGTTTTGTTTTGTTTTTGAGATGGGGGTCTTGTTATGTTGCCTAGTCTTGTCTCAAACATATGATCTTCCTGCCTCAGCCTCTGAGTAGCTGGGATTGCAGGGATGTGCCACCACAATAGGCTTATCAGGCAGTTTTAAACATTTGGTTTTATTATATGTTACTCATTTGGCGTTCTTATTTATATATTATTCACATCTATGAGTTGCCTTCTCTGAATCTGTCTACTGTGGAATAGTAACAGGATTGAGTTTGTTGACCTGGGAGGCCCAAGGCGGCCATACTTTAGGCAAATTCTCCAGAGGAATATGAGCTACTAAGATCTCTTAACTTTCCTAAGTGTCTTCTATATATTATTAACCCTTCACTTTTAACAAGTATTACCTTTGTAATTGAGTCTACTCTCAGTTCCTTCACCCTTATTGTCTCTGAACATGAAATAGTCTAGGCCCTGATTCTTAAGAACCTATATAAGGGGACAGTACTCATGTCACACTTAAGGACCCAGTGGTTCTAAGCTGTGTGCTCTTTAGAGAAATAGGTAACTGGATAAAATGTGATGTATTAAATTTTTTAATTTAATTGGTTTTCCTATTTTTATGTAACAGGAGAATTGAAATAGCACTAGGAATCCCCCTCTATGGTAAATGGCAGCTATTTGTTGCTATTTGAATTGTAAAGATCCCCTTATTCTGAGGTGTTAAAATTCTCAGTTTATTATTTATAGAATGAATTTTAATTGATTCAGCATTTATTAAATGCCTACCTTGTGCCAGGAAGAATTATAGTCATGAGGAATACATGGAATATAAGATGATTAATATGTATTCTGTATAGTTGAAGGGTACCTCATTAAGCTAAGATTAGTGGACATGTAAATAATTATAAGTGCAATGTTAGAGGTATTATTTAAAAATAAAGCAGGAGAAAGTGATTCTTCATGGAAAACTAGAAACTTAAAAGATTAGTAGGAATTCCTCAAATGGAAAATTAGAGTAATCCCAGCATAGAGAGAACCCAAGAGCAGCAGTAAAACTTTATTTGCTATGAACATGTATGCAGAATAGGAGGGTGTTTGAAATTTGGTGTTGATAGCTGATAGAGTAGTAAGAAAAAGCTGAAGTCTAGTCAGTTTTCACTGTCTTAATTTATAAGCCTGAAAACTTGTACCTTTTCTCTTTGTCAAAAATAGAGTCATGACGAAAATGGAGAGTGGAATTTTCAGCTCTGTTTTGCAGAAAAATTACTCTGGAAACAATGGGAAGATAAATTAGAGATAACACTACTTAGGGAGGGTTTTAAAGTGAGAGGTGGGGAGGATTTCAACTAGGACAGTGGGAAGGAGACAGATTGAGGATATATTTTTTGATAAGGAATCAATAGAATTTAGTGACAGATGTTGGGATTGAGGAAAAGACTAAACGTACAGAGCATCTGAATTAATTGTAGCACCATTAAGCAATTTAGTAAGACAGATGTAAAACAGGTTCAAATATTGGGTTTTGGACATGGGAAATGGCATTGTGTGTGTTGGCTCAGGTAGAGTACAGTTGAAGAGAAATTTGGGAACATAGGTTAGGAATTGTCTCTTGATGATTGGCAGCATTGTATACTGTTTTAATTGTTATACAACCCTGAAGGATGTGTAGTATTTCCCCTATTTTACAATAAAGAAACTTAGAATCAGAGAAATAGTTGCCAAATAGTTGTTCAAATAATTCCCATGAATTTTTCCATATACTTCCATTACCTGTTGGGATTAAAACAAACTACTCCTTAATTTTGTGACTTAAACCAGTGATTTATTATTATTATTTATGTTTCTGAGAATGAGTGACCTCAGCTAGAAAGCTCTTGACTTGGAGACTCTTATTTGGTTGTAATCAGAGGCAACTGGAACTATAGAGTCATCTCAAGGTTCAACCATACTCAGTGTACAAATTTGCTTCTTTAATTCATGTGTCTGACATCTCAGCTGGAATGGCTGGAAGAACTGGTGAGGGGAGATCACTGCTGGGGGCTGGCTGGTTATCTCTCTTAATAAGGTCTCACCAAGTGATTAGCCTGATGTTCTTCACTCAACTGCACATGAGTCTTGGGATTGTTATATAGTGTGTGGCTTGGTGGGGGAGGGAGTTGTCTATAACAGCCAGGTAGCAACTGAAAGGATTTTGATGATCTAGGCCCAGAAGTCATACAGTATCACTTATGCTGCATTCTGTGGATCAAAAGTGAGTCCCAGGGCCAGTTCAGCTTCTAGAAGAGGAGATAGCCAAGGGCATGACTATCCAGGGACTATCACACCATCTTTGGAGATTAGCTTCCTCCACACACTTTGCTGCTTTGGCAATTATTTATAGATAGCCTGAAAATAGATGAAACTAAGTTGCCTTGCTAGCTTATAAAAAGGGTAGAAGAAGACGTCCTGGGAACACAAATGTTTGAAAGAAGACTCAAAGAAGAGAAGCCAATAAGAAACGGGGAGAGAGGACAGCTGTCAAGAGATCAGAAGAAAAGTTAAGAGAGAGAGATGCGGGCTGGGATGTAGCTCAGTGGCAAAGCGTCTGCCTTGCATTCGCAAAGCCCTGGGTTCGACCCCCAGTTCCAAAAAAAAAAAGAGAGAGAGATGCCATAGAAGCTAACCAGGGGAAGTGGATACTCTCACCATAGCTTCAGGTCCTTAGATTTGGTGTTATAACAGTTTTGTAGTTTCAGTGTACATATAATTTATAATTACTCATCTTTTGTTTTTCTTCCCATTCACTGCAATTCTCATATACATACTCAATTGAAGCCTAAAATTTCACAGATAGAACTTCTAATGTGAAACACTTATAACTTAAATCATTTGTAAATTGTCATGATTACATTTGGAATACTTTACTGAGAATAGACTTCCATAGGAGTAGGAGGAACACACAGTGCTTCTGGCTTCCCAGGGAGGATGTTGGAAAGATGAGAGGTCTCAGTAGAATGAGGAGGATAAGGAAAGTGAGCCACTTCTGCTGGTCTTGGTGGGACCTTTTTTTGAGTTCCAAAAAAGGTATATAGTGCTATGCACTGAAATATACCATAGAAAAAAAGAAGGGTGAAATAGTATGTGCATGTTGAAATCAGTGGTGTTTTCTTTATTTCAGAGCACAAAGTTATCATTGTTGGATTGGATAATGCAGGAAAAACTACCATCCTTTACCAATTGTAAGTACTACCTTAATAGATTATTTTGTAATTTCTAGTTAACTTTTTCTTCCTGGGTGATATTCTATTAATGAATATAATGAAAAAACTGTATGGAATCTAAGTTACTCAGTAAGAAAAGAGATTGTCCATAAATCTGAAGCCAAATTTAAGTAAGTTTTTATAGAAAGCTAGATATTTATATGACATCGAGTGCATTATTTAGTTGTTTTGAACTAAAGCTCTTTTGCTTATAGAAAGTAGAAAAATATTTGTTTATATAGTTTCTTTTAATGATCTATAATAGTCTAGATTATCTCTTGTCTATTTCCAGCCCTATAAATCCTTAGCTTTCTCTTGGTATGAACTGGTGGAAAAAGGGTATTTGGGGATAAAATGTAAAAGTTCATGCTGCTTTGTCCCTTGATTAGAAAATTATTCAAACAAGGTAGCCTCTTTACTAATTGTAATATATATGAACTTTTTTTTCCCCAGTTCTATGAATGAAGTTGTACATACATCCCCTACAATAGGAAGTAATGTAGAAGAGATAGTGATTAATAATACACGTTTCCTAATGTGGGATATTGGTGGCCAAGAATCTCTTCGTTCTTCCTGGAATACTTATTATACTAACACGGAGGTAATGTTTCTTAATATGCTTAAACTTCTTTCTATAAAGAGAATGCTTGAGAAACACTTAGATTTGAATTCTTATAGTTATAAAGATATAGCTGTATTTTGACACACAGAGTTTAAGCATAATAGAATCCTTAATTCCCTGTTTCAGTGTCAATTATTCTGTACATTCATTGTCATTGAATCTCTGTAGGGAAAATTAGTGGTTTATTGGTCTGATTGTTTATTGATCCTAGAACTTGTCTCAGGTAATTTTTATAATGACTGTATCTTCCAGTTTGTAATTTCATTTCTTTCTTACTATTTATATTTGGTTAAGTATTGGAAATCCTAGTTAAATGAGAGGGCTTTGGTGGTTTAATCTTAACCAATTTTACTGTGCATTTTCTTTTATGCAACACAATTTTACATTAAGGAAATCTTTTTCTTTTGATTATGAAATACTTTAGACATAATCATATGTTTTTATTTACACATTACTTCCTACAAGAAAATTTTAGACCTGTGACATTTGTATTCATTGTATAGCCCTGTAAATTGAAAGACTGTGCTAATTGTTTTTGTAGTGTTGATTATAAGTTAATAAAATATACTCTAAACATATCTTTTAAGTCAATAAGACACTATTAAGTATCTCTAATAGTCTGACCCCAAACATTCCATTAAGCGTTTAACTATATATTTTTGGAGAAGGAATGATATGTATGAAGGTAAATATGGGCTGGCTGCAGTGGCACAAGCAACCAGCTACTTGCCTAGCATGTGTGAGGTCCTGGGTTCAATCCCCAGTATCATGGGTACCACTGTTATAATGCTATAGGTATTAAATTATGCCAACACTTTGAAAATTAGCAACTATTTTTTTTTAAAAAAAGAATGGATCTTACAGTAATGAAAGTAATTTATCAGTAAACTGTCAAGTGAAAGAAGAGATAAAAGTAATTCTCTTATTCATCTCTTATGGTTGATGAAAACTGAAAAATAGAAGAGACTTAAAATGGAAATTCATATCTAGTTCTAAAAAATAAATAGTGCTTTTTAATCGTAGGCAGTCAGAATTAATTTGGGCATCATAAATACCATCATAAATTAGTGAATTATGTATTTACTTCTGTTTCCTGTTGCTTTTTGATGCTCATGGAGTTGGGAAGAGGTTTAATAGAGGTCATCCCACTCGGAGCCTTAAGTCTTTTATTGCATCTTCTGATATTAGTTACGTCAGTTCAGGAAAAAGTTCTACTTTTCAGGTAGCAAGTGCTGTTTATATAAGGAAGAGAGCTTGTTTTTAGGTACAGATTTGTTCTTTCAATTTGTTAATTAAAAAAAAATTGTTTTCTTAACTGTGACATTACTCCCATGCACATGTCCTTTTAAATTTTCAAATGGATATTAATATTTGGATGTATCTTCAAATTAGGGGCATAATGTGGTTTTTTTTTTTCTTATTAAGTTATAGGGCATAAAGATGGACTTAGGCCCATTAGCATTTAAGATACTAATTTAGAAAGCAAGTATGTTGTATATTGGTTAGAATGCTAGCATTGTATTCTTTTTTCTCTTATCTTTTTAAAAATTAGTAAATATATTTGAATTAGAAATGGATTAGACTTTTAGACTTTACAATATGTATTAGATATCTCTGGTTTTCCAACAATACCATAAGCTTCTAATATCTTGATATTAATAGTCCGTGAGTCAAATAAGCACTATTAATTTTCACATATCAAATTATATACTCACTAATGACTTTTTTTGGTGATTATTTTAGTTTGTAATAGTAGTTGTGGACAGTACAGACAGAGAGAGGATTTCTGTAACTAGAGAAGAACTCTACAAAATGTTAGCACATGAGGTAAGTTATCTTTTTACATAAAATGCTGGGTGGGGGCAGAAGGAGTATGTGTATTACATTTCTTTTTAGTTTCTCTTGAAGATGCCATTTTAAATTTTTTGAAAAATTGTCTGCTGGCTATTCCTGATGGGCATGCCTATTTTATGATTTTGATACTTCTAAAATTTGCAGATTATCTGGAAACAGCAGAAAGTTTGTGGAATTAACAGTAGAATGTTATTTCATTTATCATAGATGAATTTGGAGTAGAAGTTTTACTGATAAGAATAATTCCTAAAAATACCTTTTATTTTACATTTTAAATAAATTTATCATGCAGAGTATTATCATTGGAAATAAAGATTTTAAAGTACCTGAGTACACAGCAATTTAGGGATTGAACCCCCAGGGGTGCTTAACCACATCCCCAGTCTTTTTATATTTTATTTAAAGACAGGATCTTGCTAAGGCTGGCTTTGAACTTGTGATCCTCCTGCGTCAGCCTCTTAAGCCGCTGGGATTACAGGTGTGTACCATTGTGCCCAGCTGCAATTCTTAAAATGTTTGTCATTTATCAGACAGATATTTAAATGTCTTGCTTGTTGCCAGACATGGTAGCAGAGGCCTGTAATCCCAGCAACTTGAGAGACTGAGGCAGGAGTATCTCAAATTTGAGACCACCGTAGGCAACTTAATACGATCCTGTCTCAAAATAAATAAAAATAAAAAGGGCTGGGGATGTAGCCCAGTGGTAGAATGCCTGTGGGTTTAATTCCCAATACTAAAAATAAATGGAATGAAACAAAACAGAATAAAGTAAAGTAATGTAGTAGTTGTTGCTCTTAGGCTTCTCTGATACTGTTTTTTTTTTTTTTTTAAGCAAACAAAATTATATGACTAGCTACATTCTGTTATTCTTTGAAAAATATTACTAATAATATAAGTTAAAAATTAAATAAGCTACTACTGGTGATGTAGCTCAGAGGTAGAGCACTTACCTGCAAAACAAACAAACTGAATAATTTAGTCAACTTAGTAATGAAATAGAAATATAAAATCATAATATTTACTGTAATAGCAATTGTTCTTTTGAATGTCTTTCATAACAAATGCCACTTTCTCATTTATAAGTAGGAATAGAAAAGTTAATATTTAGATGTATAGAGAATACTTTTTAATTTCAGTAAAATTTTTATAAAGAAAATTTTAAATATCTTTATAATGAAGGTATATATTAATTTACTATTGATTTGAGTAATTTTTTTTTAAAGTTTAAGAATTTTAGTATGTTTCAGGCAGCCTTTCAAGACTTAAGGAAACCCAGTGAAGTGGTTTTGTAATTGAGATTCTTCATTTCTTATGGTGGTCATACCCACCAAATTGCACCTTTTCCTAGTTGATTCTAATTTCTGACAGCCATGTTAAACCTCTGGGGTTTTTAAGATGTAAATTTTGCCATTGTGCATTGATTTACGAAAAGTTGTTTTAGTTTGGGTTATATGCAGTAAGCCATAAAAGAGGCAGAAAAAATTTTTTTTCTTTCCAACTTTGTATTTTAAAAAATTTACCAGCATTCTTCAGTTTGTTTGAAGGGTTGTTTTGTGAAGACTTTGGAAAGAAAAATAGATATCACATGTTGTCTCTGGGCTGTTTTTTATTTGTTAATAGGTAGTATCCCTATTTGATATGTGTTCTAATTGTCCAATATGTAGCAGGATAAGTATTTGAAGAGCCCATTAGTAGGGCTCCAGTAAAGTTTTTGAATTTTATTAGCTGGGGGCATTAACTTGGACAGATCACTTAACCTCTTCTGTTACATGTGAGTGTACTCTTGAGACCTACAAAGTTATATGACTAATTAAGCTTTTTAAGAGTAAGGATTTGAATTTAGGCATTCTTGCTCAGCCTCTTTGTTCTGGATGGGCCTGGGGAGACATAAGTAAGGCCTAACTGGAAAGTGAAAAGAGTCTGAATAGAAGATTATGGAAGAAAGGAATTGCAGATGAAGTTGAGAGCTAGCATAACTGCTCAGTGGGGTCAAATAGAGCCCAACAGGCAGAGTTCCAAATAGGGACAAATGGATCAGAGAATGAGAACATGTCAATGAAAAATAAATTTAGACATGAGGTTAGTTGTACATTTCATAGTATTATATTAACCAACAATACCTTATTATCATCATTGATAATGATTCTTCACATGTATTCCAAAATATAAAACTATAAAAAAATTTAAAATACCTTCTGAAAGATTTTTCTTAAATAAAATATAAAACTTTGACACTAATTTTAAAATAGTTTCAAGCACCAAAATCTGAATATTCTTTAGAATGACTCAACTTCTAGGAATTTTCTTCACAAATGAAGCTTTGAGAAACAAATGGACACCCATGTATGACATATAGAAAATACTAAGTAAATGTCTCTTCCACTGCTGTTATTTGTCTTCTTAACTAAAATACATTTTAGACTCTTAAGATCAGATAATCTGCAATATTTAGCTTAAAGTTTTTAAAATGGCATATGTACATAAGATCACCATTGTCCACCTTATGCTTTGACCTTTTGTTAAGTCAAGCTAATAATGAATAGCCTTAAGGTTATCTTATAAAAAGCAATGGAAGATTTTTCTCCCTAAATATTTAAAAATAAGTAAAATAACTTTGTTTAATCAAGAACTCTAGGTGAAGTTTGGGCTTTTGTGATCTAGAAAGAATTATATTCAGTTTTTTGTTTTGTTTTGTTTGAAGACTTGATAAATGACTTTATTTCTTGTGTTTTTATATTTCCAGTTCAAGGGCTTCTGTAAATTTCAGCACTAAGTGATGAGCACAGATTACTTACAAATAAAATTTAATTATGCATCTTATACCAGGTATTTAACAGAAGTTTTTTCTTTGAGCATACCAGCAGTAGCAAACCTGACCTATATAAAAGACTTCAACACACACTTTCAAGAGATATTGAAACCTAGAAGATAGGAAGATAGGAATTAAATCTCATGGAAAGTCCATCTACTTAGTTATTCAGCCACATATCAACTATTGATAATGGTTCCATTTTCTACTTGAGAAAAATATTATATCCTTTATGATGACTATATATACCTAAGTTATAGTATTTCCCTTCAATATTTTTGCCTTTTATATAACATGTGAATTGAACTATAGGTGAGACTAGTTGAACATGAAATTTTAAAAACTGTTCACATTCTAACAGTATCTCTTTTTGAACATGGTATTCAGGCAGCTACATCACTAGCTATAGTAGCATTAATAGTTGCCACCCTGCAGAGGGCACTCTAACTAAAAATCAATCTTGATTATTATATAAAATATTTTGCATAATTCTTTTTAATCACATAAAAAATTTACCACTTACATTTTTTATTTATATAACAATCAAAGAAGTCATCAAAACTATATTCTAACAGGAGTAATGTAAAGCTATCAGCTTGTGCTTATAGAAGAATATTGCTTTAAATATATGTACATGTTATTAAAACCAAACTATCCTTTTAAAATCCCTCAGAAGAATGACAGCATTCAACACAATTTAGAAAACTTGCAAGCATAACTTTAGTTTTGTTAGTATCTCTTCATATATATAGGCAGAATTTTATGGGAGTTGAATTGCATCCTTCAGGGATTCTTGGCCTACGATCCATAAATGGAAGTTAGGGTATCTTTTAAAACATTAAAATTACATGTAAATTTAAAAACATTTTTGGCACATATACATATGTGCATTTTTGTGAGGAAAAGATCTGTAACTTTGACTAGATTATCCAGTAAGTCTCTGGCTTTAAAATAGTCTGGGGTTGGGAAGAAGTGTGGCCAGAAAGATACTAAGAACCTTGGGCCTGTTTTGTGAGTAAAACTTACCATTTTGGAGTATGCACAATTATTATGTTTAGAAAAGGATAGTATGGTGTCTTTCTCAGATGAGATACACAATAAATGTTAATTGTAAGGAACAAATGCAGAAAGTTTTAAAAGAACTTGCTCAGAATCATAGCATAGAAGTGGTATAACTTACTAATCGAGTAAATTTGATAAATTTAATGCTAATAAGATGACCTTATCATATATTTATATCTAAGAAATCTTCCTGGACAAACAGGAGTTAGATCTCAGTATGGATAGGACTGATTTAGAATAGTGCTTCTTAACTGAGAATTAAGCCCTAAGGCCTTAAGGCATGCATTTTATGTAATGAATTCCTTTATTTCCTATGCATCTAAAAGGTATTAGCTATGTGCATTGTTGGGAAACTTGCAGTGTAATCACCCACATCATTTTCTACAGTTTAGTTCTCATGGAACCGTGGTTGTGAAAGGCTGGTTTAGAAGGTAATATATGCAGGTAAAGTGAGAGCAACATCGTCTCAGAGGTGTGAATAACATGATTTTGAATTGGGACTGTGTAGAACTGTTCAGAGAGCAATAGATAGATTGCTAATTAGAGTGTTTTATATAGTGAGTGATGATTGGTAAGGCAGAATATCTAGATAAGGTAGAAAGGTACAAGTAGGGTAGGGTTTTGGAGAACTCTTAAGTACCAGGATAAAGGCTAGCTCTTAGCCATATAAGCCTAGTCATGTCATTGGGTGATGGGTATATTTTATATTTGAACAGATGATTGTTAAATATAGTACTTAGAATCATAAAAATATAGTTTAAGGCTGTAAGAAATATGTAAATCCATACTAGTATATATTTATTTTTTCAAAATGTGTTTGGTGTTAAGTTTGCTTCTATCAGCCTGTGAGCTACAAGATACTTTTGTGAAGAATCATTAAGAAATTCTAGGTTAATAAGATGAAAATCAGTCTGTTAAGTTGGAAAATATGTAGAAAAATAAGTTTGTCTTTCAAGTTTTGTTTGCTTTTATAGGACCTAAGAAAAGCTGGATTACTGATTTTTGCTAATAAACAAGACGTTAAAGAATGCATGAGTGTAGCAGAAATCTCCCAGTTTTTGAAGCTAACTTCTATTAAAGATCATCAGTGGCATATCCAGGCATGCTGTGCTCTTACTGGCGAGGGGTAAGAAGTCTTCCTATTAGGTAACATGTATTTAGCATGGAAATGTTTATGTCTTCTTAAACCCAATAAATATTTAAGGAAAAGATGTAAGAAATGGTTGATGTCTACAGTTAGACTTTTTAGGATGTTTTTGTAAATTCTAAAACATACAATATAAACATAATATACATAAATCAACTGAGCATATAGATGATGCAGTTGCTGTAGAAACTCAGAGAAATGAGTGTGTCATCAAGAGCTGGAGAAGTCAGGAATGCTTCTTATGATGATGATGGAATGTATCATCAGAATATACTCAGAACTAATGCTGAGTATATTCCATCTCAGGTGCTTTCCATATGGTGCCTTATTTAATCCTCAGGGCAGCCCTATAGACTATGTTAACTCATTTTATGAATAAAGAATCTGAAATAGAAGAAGACCCATGCATGAGACTATTTTAGGGATATTTGCATTGCCACCAGTGTTGTCAAGAGAAAAATTTTACATTTTCAAAACAAAGTTAGAAGATAGTATGGCCCATGGAGATAGCAATGGCATGAGGGTCCTTGGTTTTGGAGTGAGAAGAGTTGAAGTGTAGGTTGATGCCTAACAGTAGGATTTTGCCCAGGTCTAATGCCCAGAGATGAAAGTATTTCCAGAAGGAGGTGTTAGTCAACTTTGTCAAATACAAGGTCAACAACAAGGAGGATAGAGAGAATGTATTAACTTTAACTGTGAATAAGTAAATTCAGTTAGAGCAAATTCTCTGTATTGGAAAGTGGGCAGAGGATAAGAGTAGTTCAGAGAAGAATTGGATTTTAGAGTACCAACTGTAAACTCTTGGAAGGAGGGATGATATAGAGGAGGTTGGAAATAGAATAAAAAGCTAAAAAGAAGAGCCAGGCTCAGTGGAACATGCCTATAACCCCAGCTACTCAGGAGGCTAAAGCAGGCGCTTTGCAAATTTGAGGCCAGTCACAAAGGGCTGGGGATGTAGCTCAATGGTAGAGCACCTGGGCTCAGTCCTCAGTATTAGGGGGAAAAAAAGGGAAGAAAAATGGTTAAAAGAAGGGGCAAGCAAAAGTTTGGTTTTGTTTTTCTTTTTTCAAAGATATGGTAAATCTCTGTGTTATATGTTTGTGCATGCACACAGAATAAAGAGTTAAATGACAGAAGAAGGATTCTAAAAAGAGGTCTTAAATTTTTGGTTGAGGTTCTTGAGGTATTCAGAAAGAGCAGAAGCTTGAGGCATAGATGAATGAAATAGGTAAGGCAAGAAAATGCTTTTCCTTTCAAGATTGATGAACAGTGAACTAGTTAAATTGAGTTTTTGAAGCCATATCTTATTGAAATAGAAGACAGAAGAGCTAATTTTAACTTTAAAAAAAGCAAATCTATTAATTTTTTTAAGATCTCAGACAATACCAGTTACCCATATATTTAAGTAAAAAAAGTTATGTATTTGTCAAATAGTTTAATATAAATGGAAAGAGAATGAGGCACTGGGTTCCATCCTCAGCACCACATGAAAATAAGTTGAATACATGTTGATATATATATATATTTCAAAGCAAAAACACTTGATTATAATATTAAATTTAACAGTAAATATAGTCATCTAGGATTTACATAAGATTTAATTTGTATTCTTTGATAATTAATTAGAAAATATGTACAGATTACATATGAAGTCAACTACATTTTAAAAAGAATAAAACAATAGATGAAGGTGTATTTTCAAACTTTGTTTCATGTGGGTTTCTATTTGTAGCAGTTAGCCCGGAGAAATGTTTAGTTTGGGGGAAAATGTTCTGTTCCCTTCTTAATTCTTGATACTTTGGTCCAAATTCTTGATTTTAGTTTTGTTCAGCATTTTGATTCAGTGAATTTGAGATCACAAACTTTGGAGCTTGTCCTCATTTTTATACCTATTTTTGCTATTTGCTAACCTTGCTAAACCTGGATTTTCTCTGTAACATGGAAAAAAATTCCCAGATATAGTAGTGTACACCTGTAATTCCCAATACTCAAGAGGTTAAGGCAGGAAGATCAGAAGATCTCAACTTTGAGACTAGACTAAGCAACTTGGAAAGACTCTGACTTAAGATTTTAAAAAATTAAAAGGGCTGAGAGTATAGCTCAGTGGTAAAATGCCAGGGGCCCAAAATCACCAGTACCAAAGCAAACAAATAAATGGAAAAAACAAAATCATGGGATGGCTTCTGACGTCACTGTAGTGAAGATTAATTAAAATAGTAGATGTTGGGGCTGGGTTGTAGCTCAGTGCTGGAGCACTTGCCTCACATGTATGAGGCACTGGGTTCCATCCTCAGCACCACATAAAAATAAATAAATAAAATAGTGGGTGTTAAGTCCTTAGAACAGTAATAATTACTAATTTGCTATTAGTTAAGTACTGTTCATTTGTTGCTTTTATTATTGTGCCTTATTTCCTATCAGTAGTTTATAGGTAGAATTTAGTTAAAGGAGAAAAATATAGGCCACAACTATTTGTTTACTTCATTGCCATTTATTTTTATCTTCTTTTATAATATTAGACTTGTATTTGATAGAAAAATCTGAGTTTTAAAAAAACTTTAATATTGTACCTTCATTTTGTTGTAATAAAACTTGAAACCATTTTCTTCTTGCTAAACATTTAATTTCTCTTATCACAATGAATATCCCTGTGTTTTGGATTAATCCAGTTACCCGTTGTTCAGCAATCTAATTGGTGTTATGATATAAAATTTTACTGCCCACAGATTTTTATATATAAATGTAATATACATACATGTTTACTTTGTGTTAACAACTCTGCTATATGGTTAATTTAATATCCTGCCACTTGTTTCATGTATCTCATAAGCATTTTTGGTATCAAAATTTTTGAAAGGACAGTTTTAATGTTCGTTCTTTTTTTCCTGTTAAGAATGCTTAATGAAGCACTGAGGGTATAGTTCCATGGTAGAATGCTTACCTAGGCTTTATAAGAGCCTGAGTTCAATTCCCAGCACTGCAAAAAAGGCTTTAATGAACAGTCTTATGTGTAAATTTATAAATAATCCCTTGATTTTTTTTTTTTTTTTAGGATACATTTCTAGAATTAGAAAAATTTTTCTAATTTTTTAATATTTTTGTTATCCTATTGCCAGATTATGTTCTGTTGGTATTCATTGTGTAATTAGTAAGCTCAGTTTTATGTCAGCCAGAGTGTTCTAGATACTAGAGATATAATTAAACCAAAAGCATGGATGTACTGTGTATATGAGAGAATGGTTTCACTGCAACAGCTCCTGCATTGAATACTGTTGATTTTTAAAACTCTGTTGTTCAAGTAAATTAAAAATATCATCTTTTAGTTTGTAGTCCATAGTTTTTAGTTCAGAATTTAATCAAATGATTTTGGTTTCTTTATAGATTATGCCAAGGACTTGAATGGATGATGTCACGACTTAAGATTAGATGATCTCTACTGACCTCTTCTCATAGACTTTGTATAAACAAAGTGCTGGACTTTACCTGAAAGCTGCAAAAATTAATGGTTTAGATATATTTATAATAAACTGATTTCAATTTTTTTCTATAAGAAGAAAAATTAAGACCACTTATTTGAAAACAAGATGGGAGTCTCATCTTCCAATTTGCTTTCTCATTAGTTCCTTTCAAAGTACTTTATTAAAGCTGTGATTGACATTTTTCTCAATGAATCCTCTCAGGACAATGTATAGCCTGTGGTAAGTACAAAGGGAGAGGAAGATGTTTTGAACTTCAAGAGCTTTATTATCAGTATACCCTTCCCCAACTGAATGTTGTTCTCTTTTTGTTCCACTAAGTCAAAATACAAATCAGCACAGATACTGTTTCCAATATTTTAAATGTCATGTTAGTTATGAAAAAAAAAAAGTATTTTACTTAAGGTTGTGTGTGTATTATGTATATACCTCAAGTTCAAGTTAATGGCTTTGATTTGTGTTCTAAAGAAAAGCAAATAACGCAAAAATTAGTAATATCCTTAGTTATTGCCCTAATGAGATAAGTACTGGCATTGGTATTAAGTGCCATTTTATACTTTTCCTGTTTGTTTTCTGTATTGTACTAATCAAACGTCCCCTCTCCCCCAATCATTGAGCTGCTCTTAAGAAAAAAAAAGATACAGGAAAAAGCTTGACATTGTATACCCATTTTTGTTGATCAGTAACACACATAGAAATGTGTAATCCAACTAAGTGAAATATCTGTCAAATTTTTGGCTTACCCAGTTGACAGAATTGCACAGTGGAGCATTGATCAGATTAATCCTTGTATTGGTCTAAATTATTGAATAGATTATTAATCCACTTATAAATCAATCATAAATTGTGATTAAAACTATCAAGTGATTTCTTCTTAATTAAAATCTATTGTGTGAAACATGTCTACCCAAAGAGGTAACATTCTATAAATATTATTAAACAATTAGCTAGAGTCTTTTTAAGTATAAAATTATATATGTCAAGCTGTTAAAATGAGAGTACAAGTAATGCATAAAAAAATTCTGAGCAACATTTGAAATTTTTTAATTTGCAGATTTCTTATTTCTTATTTTAGGATTTGGAATCCTTTTGAGGTTTTTTTGTTGTTCTTAAGTTTTCTTTGATCTTTCACCTTGTAAATGCATTGTTTAACAATTAATAGTGGTAAATTTTTAATGCTGTTGGCTGGAAAACTGATTGGTGTATGATATATTATTCGTACTAAGAAATAACTTGACCCAAAATACCTTTTGTTTGCTTAGGTTTCTTTCTTTCTTTTTAATGTCTGAAAATTGAAGGTATTTTTGTCATAATTGTAAACAGAATTATCCTGTATTAAAATATATACTCTATTTGTGTATCTTTTATGCCCTGAAAATTTGAAGGTTAATCCATACTGGCATGTTTTAGAACATTCAAAAAAAGAAATTACTTTTAATACCAACCTTTTAAATTTCATGAAGATTTTGGTAGGAATAATAGTATATACTATAAGCATTGACAAAACTGAAAATTTCTTTCTATGAAATATAAAATGCTCAGTATCTAAATCCAAGTTGGGTGTGGTATATCAGTGTTAACTTTGGATGTTTTGTGTTTTATATTTATGTGCAGTGTTCAAAATGCAAATATAACATTTAATATTTGTCATGCTTTTACAAAAGTGAATTCTAAATTACTAAGCTTTGTCCATATGTACTCATACTTTTGGAATTACTTGTTGTATATTAAAAATTCCCTTAAAAACCCAATTCTATTTTGCAGTTTCATCAGAAACAAATATCCTTTAATAGAGTCCCAAAATCTACACTCTTTGTCCTTTTTATTTTTTAATGTGAGTAATCATGTACTTATCCTTGGATTGCTGTCCTGTCAATACAATACAGATACATTCAATTGTCATCAAAGTGTTGGAAAAGTATTTTAATTGGATGTGTAAAGAAAGCATGCACTGCATTATTAAGAGGTGGTTTAGTGTAATTGACTACTGTCATGATATCATGAGAATGCTTGGTATCTTACATGACATTAATAAAACATGACTTTTTTATTTTCTACCCTTCTAGACTGAGCATCAGAAATAAAACAGTACCTGTGTGCTTGTATGTAAAACCAAAATTGCAACTGTGAAAAAAGATATCATTTCTTCTATGAAAATATCAAAATCATTTTAACAGTATTTTTCCAAATAAGATGGAGAGCCTCATGAACAGTCATTCTGGCAATTTATATGTAGTTTAAGTGGAAATAAGCAAAGAATAATTCTTTTGGGTTTTTAATGTTATTTGGGGTTGCTCAGCTTTGGAAAGAACGAAGATTTGTATCTCTATACATGTAGCAAGATTTAAATACCTGTTTTGATACTAATTTTGAGAGTCATAACTTCTTTTGATATGTTGGTAGAAATTAAAAATGAGCATATGCTAAAGCATTAAGATATACTTAATTTTGTCATAATAGCATTTATAAAGTATATCTTTCACATTATATTAAAGATTCTTGTTTGAAATTTTCAGTTTTCTTTATCTTCCTAGCACATCGTGGCCCTCACAATGGGCAAAGAATACAGTGAAGACAAGTGGGGTAGGGGCAGTGGGGAGTGGGCATTCATTTCCTTATATGATATTTTGCCTTAAGAGTAAAAAAGTGGTTTAGCACTGTTGGTTGGCATATTTAATGCAGGTGGAGAAAGTGACTTTAGAAGTATGACACAAAATAGAGAACAGAAGAGTTTCTGGCCTTTTAAGAAGTGCCTGGTAGGTAGATACAGAGTCACAGAAAAGTGCAGAGAGCTTGAGGAAAGGTGTGAAGTCCTTGAGATGTTCTTTTTCTTTTGTCTTTAGGGTATAGTATTAAGATGCCTAGAAATGGGACTGTATTGTCTCTCTCATGGGCACTTTACATTTCTTGCTGTCAGTACAGCAGCCACATACAGTACAGTCAACCTCAAAATCTGTTTATAAAAGTAATGTAAATAGAAAAATTATAGACAACTTTCTAGTTTTCTGTGCAGGCAGTTTTGGGAATGTACTGTAGTCTGCTCTGCTTTGTATATAGGGGAAAAGAGCACATTGTAGATTACCTGTGACTTTTTGTCATCTTCTCTTAATTGCCCAGGGTATCCTGGCCTCAATCTCATTTTCAGGGTTTGGGTAGAGGTAAGATTTTTCTCATGACTCAACTTTGATCCCTTCCACTTCTTGCTTCAGGATTGACCTTTCCCATAGCTCAATTATCCGTTGTTCTCCTGAAGGTACACTAAACTTTGTCTATAACCATTATTTCCCAAACCACTAGTTCTAAATAGCTCATCTAGTTTCTAGCTATCTACCCACCATTGCCTTTGTTTGCTTGTTTGGATTTTGTTCATTAAAGGGCATTTTAAGAGTTGTTGAGTCCATCAGAAGACCAGATTGCAATGTATACAGCATATACGTGCCAATAGTAGAATCCTGTATATTATACTGTATTTAACATTTAATGCTTCTTAATTTTTCATATGCTGCAAAAGTAGATTCAGAAAGATAAGAGAAATACTTAAACTCTGCCAGTTCCTTGAGCTACTAGTAAGGTCTGGAGGATATTAAGTTATATGTGCATTATTTTCCCACTACCAAGAATGGTTATGTTTTGGAGCATACCAGTTCAAGTAATTTAAGTTGGAAAAAGATACCAAATCTTTATGTAGTGTTTAACTTAAAGATATCCTTAAACCATTGCCCACATTCCATTTTTCCCCCTCATGTTTACTTAAAGAACAAAGATCAATATTAGATTTCTAAAGGAATTAGTAATAAGAAACTTAGTTTTACAAAATAAGCCTATTGGGATGGACTTTAAAAGACATTAGAATAATCAACCATTATGTATTGGCTGTGTAAATGCAGGTATAAAAAAGAAAAAGGCCTTTAAACTTTAAAGCTCCACTTACACAAAAGAATGTATTAAAGATTATTTTAAGATCATGATAGTGGAGTCAAGGAAGGCAAGCTAGAATAGAACACTTTGCTAAAAAGTGTCTGCTTCTCTTTAACCTTAAAATGGTATGAAATTTTGAAGAAATGTAATAGGATACAGTTGGGTTAATTATGCAATATTTCTTATGGATTTTGTAGCCTTTCCTCCTTTACATGTTGTTCTGAAAGCTAAAGTTTAAATCTTTATGGTATTGTATGCTAGATAATGCCATTCTTTGGTAGAAAATTCCCATAGTCTGTATCCAAGAAGTGCCTAAAATTGATTTGTGTTGATTTTTAAATCCATCTAATAAATTATGTGTTTTATATGGTATTGTATGTGCTTGTCTTACTGATGACACAGACCTGAGGGTTTTTAAGTCACAATTTATGCTTTATTTGAATAAAAAGGTTTAAATTTAAAGATATCCACCTAACTCTCATCAAGCATAGAATAAAAGCATCAGCAAAATTATTTTTTGTCTTTTCTAATAACAGTTTTTCATGACCTTGTCATTCGTTAATGCAGCAACTAGAAAACTGAACTCTTCCTGTTTTTTTAAACAGTTTTTTTTAAAAAATGTAATGTTTATATTTGAAGACCTCAAAATAAGAGTTTGTTGCTTATGTAAGAGCCTCTTCATTCTCGGTTAGTGGTTAGCAGTTTTGAGTGTCAAAACATTTAGTGTTCAGTCATTTCATTTCCTTTGTTTAGATAGTGCTTAACCGAAATATTTGATAAAATCAATACATTTCTCGTATATTGTTCTGTTTATAAAACTGACCATAAAATAACTGTAAATTCTAGAGAAAAGCTTGACTGTATTTTCAGCAATGTACATTACATTGTGTTCATAAGTCATTTTGCATGAAAAATGAAATGTGTATCTTATTTTAAATTAATGTGTACTATTCCCTTTCCCCAAACTTCTTACGTTGATGTTATACAGAATTCTAGTTCATTAGATTGGAGTAGCCTTTTCTTATATTGTGCCCCTCTAGGTTCCATGAGGTAAGGTGATACCTGCAAAGCACTTTTAAAGATATTTTTTATGTTAATCTCCAGGATACAGCATTGAGGAGGCAGCTATATCTAATGAAGGCTCTTTTGATTGCTAGAGATGAGAAAAGTATATACTAATAGTTTTAATTTCTGCACAAAATACATTTTATTAATTGTCTTGATTTAAAATATGACAAATCCTTGTAGATATTGTTCTTATCATATTTTCCCAGAGGAGCCTAAGTAAAAATGTGTTCCAACTGGCCTGTTTATATAACTTCCACCACAATTGCTACCCCAAATTGAGCTCTCTGAATATTGACAAGTTAGAAAGCCTTTTGAAAATTTTTGTTTCTTGAAATTTTCAGTATGACAAAAGGTTTTCACTTGAGGTCTGCATGCAAAAAGGGTTGGAAAGTTTGTCTTACCTCTCTGCTGTTTTATGAACTGTTTCTCTACATACTGAGGATATTTCACACTGAAGGAATATTCCAGGAAATGAGGGTGTTGAAATTGTTTGATGCTTTTGTATTTCCTCAGTGCAGATGTGTTAGATGTCTAGGAAGCAGTGCTTGACCAGACAGCTTCATGGATGGCTGGAGGATATTTATGTTTACTCTGAAGAAAGGAGGAAGCGGGCATATTGGAGTGGGGACCTTTTCATTGGTAAAGCAGTGTAATCAGCTGCTTTGCAGATGTGCTACTTCATTATACTTGCATCAACGTTCTTATGCCCATAATTGACTGAAATGTCAGGCTCCAGAAATGTAAGGTGTTGGCCAGATGACCAGTAATAGGACCTTGTGGATTATGAAGTGGAGGAATAATGTCAAGGTAGTTTGAGCAGTAATGACAAAGTTTTACTGGTAAATTTCCATGTTTGATATGTACATTAATCTTTAAAACAAAAAAGTTGCATGTTAACCTGGTACAAAGTATTGTCTCTGCTTTATGCTTCAAGTAAAAAGAAACATACTTGAGTTTCAATTGTTATTCTATTATGTACTGTTATATATTCCTTTTCTTTTAGAAAAGGTTAATTATAATTACTCTTCACACCTCTGTGTTGTCAGTGTTTTTATTTTGTTCATTCTCTAAATTTGCAAATTCATTGGTGGTAGGGCTGGGATCTGCCATGGCAATCGAAAAGGTATTATAGATACATTATGTAAATGACAAAAGATTGTCTTACTGTTCTTTTGGAAACTTTTTAGGACTTAGTTCATTCAAAGAAAGCTTTCTATTTTTTTACTTATGAACCTGATAATTGGAAACAAATTGAGCTTAATAATGGTGACCAATGTGTGGTTGATTTGTTTTAAAATGTCAAAAGAATCAATTCATTTAAAATTAATATTAGTGAACATCCATGATTATGAATGATAGTAAGCAGAAGAAAAAAGGAACAAAAAATGAAGAGATGGGAGTCACCCCCCCAGGCATATGCATATTTGACTATTATCTTTTACCCCTCCACTAGGTGGTAAGCACCCAAAATGCTTTTGAACCTGGGTGTTAACTTTAATGATTCGTATCTATTTCAAAATGAATTCAAGGTGACTATGTTTTCCACATGAGTTCTTATAATAGAGATAGGATTTATATCCTTAAACATGTCTTAAAACCACCATGCAAGGTTAGATAAATATATACAAATTGCATTTATTTTAAATCTGTATGGGTCTATGTTTAGGGATGTCAGTAACCTACTAGTGTTTATTGTAAACATCTGTGGCTATTGAAATAGTAAATGGTACAATAGCTCTTTTGGAAAAAATAGCAGTGTCATCTTATTGATCTTTCATCCCCTTTTCTTCAGTTTTCATATCTGGAATACCCCTTTTTTGCTACTAAATAACTTGTTCCCTAAAATCAATTAGATTTTCACAATATTAAAATAACCTGATATTCCTTTTTAATGATTGGTACCATCCTTTTGGGATTCCATGAGTTGGGATGCTTAGGTGACAGTTATTCACATCCCTACCTACATGGTTTACATTCGGGCAAACCATTTTGTATCAGAAGGATGTTTATTTGAAAATCTTTTTAAACAGTTCTAATATATTTAAGTCCTCCAGTACTACTCAATTGTATATAATTACAAGGAACTCTGTGACGGCCATCTTCCACTTAATTCTAAATAATTTTTTAAAGCATTATTTCTTTTAACTAGAATCCCAGAAGTGAAACTATTGGATAAAGTGGTATGATAGAATTTTACTTCATTTATTATTAGAATCGTTGGGGGGGAGGGGTTATGAATAAGTTAAATGTTAAATATACTAGCCCTTTTTGTTAGCTTTTGGTTGCTGCATCTAAAATAACTAACAAGAACAACTTAGAGAAGGAAAATTTTATTTTGAGCTCACTGTTGCAGATGTTCAGTCTATGTTCTGCTGACTCCATTCCTGAGGACTTGAGATGAGGCAAGGAGGAAAACTATTCACCTCATGGTTGCTGGGAAGCAAAGATGTAAAGGGGGCCCTCTACAGGGAAGATGTATCCTTCCATGGCATACTCCCCACTGACCCACTCCTTGCAGCAATAGCCCCCCTGCCTACAGTTAGCACCCAGGTACCTAGTCCATTCAAACTAGGATAGACTGATTAGCCCTCATGACCTAATTGTTTCACCTCCTGCAATTAACAGGAAATTTTGGGTGACCCATAATTTACCCTTTGTCATATTTTTTTAGATTTTTTTCTAGTTTGCTTCTTTATTTTTATAATTATCTTTTGAAAAAAAATTCTTTGAAAACTAGAAAAGAAACACAATTAGTCAAAAGAAAATGAAAACATGTACATTGTCCCAGCATCCTAAGAGAGCCAGCACTCAGTAGATATATATATATTTTTTTTTTCCCTTAAAAAGCTAAATTTTTCACACCATACTATGGACATCTATGAAATGGGTTTTTTAATATTTTTTAGTTGTAGTTGGACTCGGTACCTTTATTTCACTTATTTATTTTTATGTGGTGCTGAGGATTGAACCCAGGGTCTCACACATGCAAGGCGAGCACTCTACCACTGCACCACAACCCCAGCCCCTGAAATGATGTTTTTTTAATGTAAAATATTATCTTAATGCTTGCTAGTTTGGATATGTCTTTATTTAACCAATCTTCTGTTGACGTACATTAAGTCATTCCTTCTTACCATTGAAAACAACTAATTAACCTGTGAATTCCCCTTTCATAGAATGAATTCTCACAAGTCAAACATTTAAAAGGCTTTGGTGGCTTATTACCCAAGTATCTTCCCAAAACATTCTTCACATCCTGATCAGTTCTTCACTGATAAATGTGGCCATCTGTATATTAAGACACTTTATATTAAATTAAGATTTAGTGAGCTGAGCATGTAGATCAGTGGTAGAATATTTGCTTAGCATGCACAAGACCCTGCTTGGTTCAATCCCCAGCACCACACACACATACGAAAGTTAACCTGTTATCACTGTTCCCAGAAGGCATCACTGTATCTGGACACTTTCCGGTCATGCTGCATGTTCAACAGTCCTCACAGGGAAGGGCTGAACTAACTCCCTTCTGCTTCCCTTTTATTTTAAAGGACTGGCATTCTGTTATTTTTAGCTTTTAATCTGTTGTGCAAAGCATATACTTGTTAACCCACTTCCCATATAACCAGTGTATGCTAAAAATGAACTCATTTGGGGGAAGACAGAAGGGAAAATCTAAGAAAGAATCTCCCAGCTGACCTTTTTTTGATGCTGGGAAAATATAATTTTCAGCACCTTTCAGTCTCTAACAGAGGTGACCAGTCTTATGCACCTATGGTGCTTTCCCACTCAGGTGTCAATCTACAAGTGTCCACCCCAATGCCAATGCTTTTTGCTTTTCTAATGTAGGTGGTTTTCTAGAAGTTTACATTAATAGTCTAAACTGTACTTTTCCCTCGACTGTGACTAAAATTCTCATTTCAACATTATTTCTTTTAAGAAAATTGTGTTCAGTGAATAAGCTTTAAAGTTGGAGGGGCACACCTTTTTTTTTTTTTTTTTTTAAGCAGTACCTGTTTCATTCTTTAAAATGTTAGGCAATCTTTGGGTAAAAAGTAATACCTCACTTTTACTTTTCTTGGTCACTATTATAGAGTTTGGAACATCATCATAGTTGTGTGTGTGTGTGTGTGTGTGTGTGTGTGTGATTTTTATTACTTATATAAACTTTCTACATCCCTTGCATTTTCTGCTACTGGCTTTGTTAAAAAAAAAATACCTATAAATTGATCTCAGGTGAATAAGATAATTATTAGTTGAATGTATCAGCCTATCTTTATGGTTGTGCTTCTTGTTAAAAATTTTTG